CAGAATAATTTTCTGTTGTCATGGAAGATTTATCAATTGACATTTGACTTTGACTGGTTCAGAAAAACCCCTGTTTAGAGCCAAAGCAAAAGACTTTTGACAATAACATCCAGAAAGATTTGAGCATTTTCCCCACTTTGTATGGGATGGGTCTATTTAGAAGATTTTCCCCTTTGCCAGTTATCTAGCCATTACTTTCTGACCAACTCAGGAGCATCTCCACATTTTCTAGATTCAATGTTTTACTGTTTTTGCTGCTGGATGAAATTTTTACAATATTCTAGAGTCAGAGTGACTATGTCTCTGCCTGTTGGGGGAAATAAAATTCTGAAGGGTTGTAAAGATCTGGCTGTTCTTCCAGGCCTTTGTCTAGAGTGGTTGGTGCCCCTTTGATGGATGTTAGTCATTGGTAGGATGCTTTGGAGTTTGCCATCTTGCTCTTTTCCTTTGTCTGAGTCTGGTTTTGTTGTCTGTTGCTTCTGTTATATTGTTTTTATATTGTTTACTATATTGTGATCCGCCCAGAGTCTTTAGGAGTTGGGCAACATCAAATTAAATCAAAATAAATAAATAAGGCTATCATAAATCTTTGATCACTATCCTAATTTGGCTGCTTTGATCAACTCTTGTGATCCTGCTTGCTATCTAGGTGGGGCTATTGTTTCATGGTAATTGTATTTTTGAGTCTGGCCTGTAATGTACTTGTTCGTCTAAATTTATGTTCTTGCTTTTGGTATAACACCTAGATGAGAATTTTGAATTATAATCCTAGTTTATAAATGGAGTTGCCCCATGTGGCTGCTATACCTGATCATGTACTAACTGAAGTTCAAACTTAAAAGGCAGCTAAACAATTACAGTAGGCTTTTATTATTGGAAAACATATCTAGCACCTGTAGTTATCTCTAGTTTATGACCTTCAAATATTGTCTGTAAAATGTCCACTCATTCAGCAGAACGTTAAGTAGTAATATTAAAAACTTCCTTTATTATGTATTCTAAATGCACCCAAGTGATCAGTTATTCCTTTTGAATATGATGATTCAGAAATTTCCAAATAGCAAGTTATGGGATACCATCATACTGTCAAACAATGCAAACTGAATAACAAAAGCTTTTAAAATCTAATAATAGATTAGTTTTAAATAATGGAAAGAGGTCCATTAAAGGACCATGTTACTATTCTTTCATCAGATATAGCTGATAATCCATATTTTCATGCTGTGAAACACTTCAGCTGGTGAATCAGCAGCTCAAATTGCTCTTAAACTTGTTGGGTTTTCCCCCACAATCAGTTGACAATATTAGTTGTATCTCTGAACCACTACCTTAAATCTCACATGAATGGATCAACTCTTGCTCAGGTTATATAAGTCACATTTAAATTATCAAACTACCTGTGGAAAAAAATAGTGTTACATTTAAGTTTAGGATGAACATGGTACCCAGGAAAAGAGCCTTTTTTGTTAGGGCGCCTGCCCTCTGAAAGAAGCAGAATTCCCCAAGAAATTCGACTTGCCCTGATCATGCTGCTCTTTCCTAAGGCCTGGTGCTTTGATTTGTTGCAAAATAAAATATTTTGTTTTAAATCATTGCTAGCTGCCCAGAGTCATGTATTTGAGATGGGCAGCCTACAAATTGAATGAATGAATAAATATATAAATAGATAGATGCACTTAACATCAATAGCCTCTCTTCTGTTATGGCCCTGATTATGGAACAACGCAGTACCTCTCCTTGTTACAGTTTAGCAGGGGCCTGAAAATACTCATTTTTATTCATACCTTTGGAGTTTTTAATAATTTGTATGTATTTGTAAGTTGCCTAGGCCATTAATGGGAATGGGTGGCATATAGCCTTTTAAAATAAATAGAATAATTTATTGTAGATATAGATGTTAATATGATTACAAAATATCTTTTGCCTTAAGCAGTTGTTTTAATATAGCACTAAAATTGCCTTTTTTTTTAAAATTAGAATATTAGACAGTGCTTATGGCCTGCTATTCAATTCTGGTGTGATTTCAAGAGAAAGCTGGTTGTCTAGCTGCTGTGAATTTCTCACTTATATGCGGGAATTTCTTTTTTCCCTGTTCCCCCCTGACGAAATAAACATGAAATCTGGTAGCACCTTTAAGAATAATCAAGTTTATAAAGGCATAAGCTATTGTGAGCTGCTGCTCATTTTGTGTTTATTTTCTTGTCACAGACTAACGAAGCTTTTCCCTCAATCTCCCTGATGGAGTTACTCTGTTCTAAAGTGGTATTTAGGGTAAACATCATGATTTGATTATATATTTTTTAAAAGGCTTAAATCTCCAAAACAATGTATACATACAAATCTTTCCATAAAACACACTGTAACTCAGCACTCCTTTAAAAAAAAAGACAATATAAAAAGATGAGGTATTCACAATAATAACATTTTTGTATACTGCCAACTTGGGATGTTTCTAATGATTTAGATAATGGAGATTTATTGACTTGCTGGCCTCTTCTGCTGTGCTGGGGACAATCCTTGCCAGCTAACTATAAATCTTGGGTAAAAAAAATATTGCTGTTCTGGCATCTGTTGGGGGAAGAGAAAGCTTCTCATTTCAACTCATGGTGGCTTTGTTCAAGGTAGCCAATGCCTTGTGGCATCTGTTACCCCAATATAATTCATGTGATTTAAGAAGAAAGGAATTTAGGGTGGAAAAAAATGTAGTATCACCTGTTCTGCACAGCCTTCCACAATATTATCCCACAGTTACCAAGTGTAAAATGTGGTGTGTTGTGATACATCTCTCCTTTGTATGAAATTGCTAAGACACCAGGTAAATTAAACAATATTTTTTATAACCCTCACATTCTTACAACCCACACATGAAGTTACAAATGACTGATTACATGAATTATCCTTGCAGTTTTTCTTCATGCTAAACTTATTCATAACAAACACATTCCTGGAAACATAAAAAAACCAACCTCCCATTCCTAGAAACGAATTCCTAAACAAATCTCTAAGTACTTCCTAAAATCTGCAAAGAACTCAGCAGGATATGCACTGTAATTTACACCATGTATGATGCAATACAAGTACTAGATTGTTGTTGGTCTTCTAGGTCTTGACCTCCCACCTTGTTATTATTCAGTGATCCATATTCATGAACCATTACAGGGCCTGCATAGATATTACTGTTTCTTCTGTACAGTTCTGTAAGGAAATGTCTGATTTTATTTTTCTTTTTGGGATGTTTGGATCAATTACGCTAATCATTATTCTGTATAATCATATTGATGATTTTAGTACATGTTTAGGGTAGATTCCCTTTCACCTGGAGTGTATTGGCATATTAATTTCTTATATGAACTTAGTTTTTAGCAACCCATGTATCTTGGGAATTTAAGATGTGGGTGTATTAGGCCTGTTATTCAAACCATTTGTATTGTTTAAAGAAAAGATTATATAACTTACACAGTGTACCATGGGACCAAGTCCCATAAAGTTTACTGCTCTGAATAAATAGTTATAGGATTAGGATTCAAATATGAAAAAAATGCATGAAGATTCTGATGGTAGAACATTTTCTGCAGCCCACTGATAATCAAATGGAAAGAGGTGAATACTGCTAAACACAAAATATTTTGGTGTATGAATATTATAGCATCTTCAGAAATGGCCCATCAAAGATGTAATTGCTTTTATCACATCACTACTGAATTGAGAAGTAAGCAAATAATTTATGCAATGTCTGAGAAAGCAATTTCTAAATCGCTGGTAAAATCCTAACTATCTCATTTCCTTTAAGTGAATCTGTAGAAGCTTACCAACTATCAATAGTCATCCATATCTCCAATTCTGCTCTTATCATATGCTTGTTTTCAATAAAACTGCCTGATTAGCTTTATATATAATTTCATTGTTTTCTGGGAGCAGGAGAGATATAATGAACAACCGCTACTTGGCTAAGCAAATATCTGAGATCCTTAAAGTGGAGAGAATGAAAGGTTGGCTTTGCCTAAGTAAAATCTTGTGTCTTCTCAGAATAGTTTCAGCATAGGATGTCAGCAAAATATATTTTTATCATGGGTGCTCTAATAAGATATGCTCTTATATGTCAAAAAGGTGCTACCCAATTCCTTTTAATTTTTAACTACCATAGTCTTAACATAGCTTGCCTTCTACAACTTGTATGTCAACTTTCTCATTGAAAAACTGTCATTATGGCCAAGGACCTAAGCTTACTTGTTGGGAAGGCAGAGTAAACTTGGTACATCAGGAGTAGCTAATGTTCACAGCAAATGCTTGCATAACAGAAACTGGAAATGAAAGCAGTCTCCAGGAACTTTTCCGATTTCTACACCACCCTTTATTGGATTAACTATCCAATGCTATCTTCCATATTTGTATGTATGTTGGGTGCTTTAGCAAAAGGATACTGTAATGCCTTTGTTTGGCCATTTACTTCTAAGGGCATCAAACAAATCCCAAACTTTACCATCCTGTGATTCCTCCGATAGGTTGGATGAACTCCAGACATTTTAGTGTTTTGTTCACAGCTTCTTGGTGGTGTGGAGATACTGAGTGGGAAGCAGTAGACTTGCTGTTGCATTCTCAGAAGGCTTGGTTCAGAGTTTTGCTTTCGAGTAATTGTGCATGGAGGTAAAAAATGAAAGGCGTTACAGTGGTGTCTATAGAGGCGGCAGAATGCCACGTTCTTTTCACAGCGTTTCCTCACGAGCAACAACTAGTACAGCGTAAGCTTGCGCTTCCTTTCCCATCACTGACCAAGGCACGCTTAACTGGCGCTGCCTCTTTAAATAATGCCTGATCTAGAGGGAGGTGCCTGCTGCTCACTTTTTCATGCGCCTTTGAGGCACGCACGAACGCATGCACGCACACTCTTTCCACCAGAGCCGCCCGCTGTCTTGTACTCCTCCCTTTTGCGCGCGCTGCCTCGCCGTCTCGTCATTGGCTGGGATTGTCAGCTGACCCTGTGTTATTTCCTGCGTGTGTGTCTCTGTGAGGGGAGAATGGAGAGACAAATCTTCGGTCTGTTGCCGCGGAGCCGCTCCCGGACAGAAGCAGATCCCTGCCGCCCCACGCGCCACTGAGAAATCTTGTCCACTCCGCGCTCCCCCGTGGGGGAGCGGGGAGGAGAAGGAGGCTTGGGTAATAACTTCCATACGTTTAAAGCCATCCCGTGGGCCTCGATGGAAGGGGCGGGGTGGGAGAAGGCGACGAGTGCCAGGCAGTTTCTGGGCCGCAGCATCTGTGTCCTTCCCCCAGCCTGTATGGATGCCTGGAGCAGAAATGCGCGCTGCTAAGGGAGAGGAAACACCTAGGGTGGATCGGAAGTGGGGAGACAGCAGAAAGTGCTTTATTTCGGCAAAATCCGCCTTTTCAGACCTTTCGGTTCCCTGTCATACTTCCGTGCTTGGCTCTTTACGTACGTACATCTCAACAGAAGAAAGATGTCTGAGAGGAAAGTATAATGAAGGGGTTTAAAGGTTTGATGCGGGTGAAGGAAGAGTGAAATAGCTTCTTTTTCAGTAGTTGAGTCTCATTACTCTTCCTAATTATTTTTGTCTAAGGAAATAGCCCTAGTCTCATGGACCAATTGTAACTTAAGCACTTGTATGTACCTCTACAAAAAATACTTGTGGATGTTTTTATAATAGCATTTGATTATTATTTAAAAATACATTATCAACTTCAAAAATAGTTGACTGAAGTAATTTAAAGACAATCTACCCCTCACACTTAGTTGCCTGGGCTGAACCATTACAACCACAGATCTGGTGCTTTTTGGCACTGGTGTGGCAGTTGGATTTGAGATGTGACTTCTCATCTTTATATGAGATCCACCTGGAGCTATTGCAGATCTGTGTGATTTGAACTATTATAATTATAGATCCCATGACTTTTGACATTACCATCCAGCTGCACAAGTTGAGCCATATCAAAGATTTAATGATTTAGTGTTGATATAGCCCAAAACATGGAGATACAGATGGATGAATTTTCATGACTGGTAAAATAGTTTTTAGGTGATAGATGTATGCATAAGCACAGTTTTTGTGAGATTTAACATAATAGCTTCACTTTATAAAATTATTAAAAAGTAGTATATGGTGAAGTATTATAGCACTTTCATTGTAGGTAGTTATATAATATAATCTAGACCATAATAATTCACTGTGGCAAACTGTCACAAGCAAAGTGTGGCTTCTGTTTCTGTTCAGCCATGAAGCTGTCTTAGTGGTTTAGTTTGCCATTACTATCTTCCAGTATGATCTATATCATATGGTGATTATAGTTGAACTATGTGCACTGAATTCCTTAATAAAAGGCAGAATATTATTATACAACCTATATATCATATATTTGGTATATAATACTGCCAGTTTTTGTGGAAGTGACTCAACTCTGCATGGTGATGTCTTTAGCAGTTTACATGACACTTTTTTCTTAGTCGCACATCTTCCAAATTCCTAACCTCTCCTGTAGCTCACAGCATCTTCTAAAAATTATTTCTTCCTCCCCTTTTAGTTTTTGAGTAACTTAAAGCAGTATAACATGATCCCCATTTTCCATCTTAGTAAAGTCTGTGGCTCCAATAAGCTCCAGAAGCAATTTGTGAAGAAGGCAGACACTACAGTACTCTTGGCCACCTGAGAAAAAAGAGGTCACAGGTATCAGAAGGTTACACTTTGGTCACAGAGAGATGTGTCCATTACTTCCATGTTGTCTCTTCCCAGTTTGCTTAATAGGTTTAATCTAGACTGCTATTTTTTGGACTTTGTTCTAGATAAAGAATTACCAGAGGTAGCAGTACTAAGAGCCAGCTAATACAGGTACCTATAAACAAGCTTGACTTCCAGTGACAGTGTTAGTTATGGATTTTGACATCATTGTTATGGAAAGCCCATTCTTGTCAGAAATATTGTTGCCATCACCACAGAGAGGCAGTACGTAGCTTAAAACTAGAGGCTACTTAAAACCGGAGAAGTAATTGTAATGAGACTGTTGCTGTTCTAAGTATATGTAGAAACTGGTAACATTCATATCTGTTACAGTTAGCTGGAGACGGGTTTTTTAACATGATGAGGTTGGTTCTCTTTTTGTGTGTGTGCATGCCTTTGAGTCATTGTTGACTCCTGGCAACTGCCTGGACAACTCTCTGCAGTTTTCGTGGTAAGATTTCAGAAGTGGTTTGCCATTGCCTACTTCCTAGGGCTGAGAGAGACTGACTGGCCCAAGGTCACCCAGCTGGCTTTGTGCCTAAGGCAGGATTAGAACTCCTGGGTCTCCCAGTTTCTAGCCTGGTGCCTTAACCACTACACCAAACTGACTCTCTGAGATTGGTTCATAGCCATTTCTTAAATTTTCCTAGAAAATGTATGTTGCCATCTTCTTATATAGATATTCTTGCTTATATAGTGAAATGATTATTCAATATAATGAGCTGTATGTAATTATATACATCGGGTTCCCTCACTGGTAAAAATTTAAAGCTTAGCATAGTGCATTTGCTGTCAAATGCTGCTGTATGACCTTTCACCCCTTCTCTCATAGCATATTAAGAATGTCCCTGAATCCATTGCACTTCTAGGGTTTTAAGGGAGTGTGATCAATGTTAAACAGCAAATGAAGTTCACTACATAATATCAGAATTGAAGGCTGTAAGTTGTATTGCAAGTTATATACTTTCTGACACTAAACAGATTCACTAAACTTGCATTACTGCAATATACTTACAGTAACGTAACATGCATCATAACAACCCTGCAAAATATTCCAGCACTTAGTTTCAGCTTGATGATTCTGTATACTTTTTACATAGGCATAGACTGGTAAATTCTAAACAGTGAATTCAATGGGTTCTCAATCCTCTCAAAGATTAATGTTAATATTAATGAACATTCTGGATAGTTTATGTTTTTAATTTTTCATCTTTATAACAGTCTCTATATGCTTTCTGGGTTACCTGTTTAGAGCAAACTCTTGTCTACCAGATCACTTTTATTCTTTGCAGTACTTTAAGATACTTTTTCTGATGCTTTTAGTTACTACATAATCTTTCCTGCACAGTCCTTGCTTTATTTTTATTGTTATGTATAGGAATGGAAAACCTGTGGCCCTTCAGTGCTTTTGGATTTCCTGTTTGCAACATTCCCACTAAAATAACCAGAGGGTATGGATGATCATAGAATCATAGTGTTGCAAGGAGCCATTTGAGTCATGGAGTTTGACTCAAGCTCAGTATACAGAAATCCAAAGCATCCTTGACAAATGGCTGCCAAGCCTCCACTTGACCATATCCAGTAAAGAAGAGCCCATTGCATCTCTGGCCAATTCTACTATCAAATTCTTCTATTATTTTCTCCCCTAACATTTAACTGCATTCTGCCTTTCTGTAATTTAAGTTTTTTCTTTATTCCAGGTCTTGTAACTTTGCAATAAATGAAAACAGGTCTTGGCTTTTTTTTTTCTGTGTGATATCCTTTCAAATATTTGAACAATGATTATCAATATTCTCTTCTCAAGGCTAATCTTAAATTACGTCAGTTTTTTTTCTTGGTTTCTAGTCTTCTTATCATTCTTATTGACCTTCTCTGAATTGTTCCTGTTTGTCTGAATCCTTAAAGTGTGGCCACAGAACTTTTCTGTTATTCTGTCCTTGCTCCTGGCAGACAGCATATTTCACAAGCCAGCATGGCTGATTGGCATATATCTGTTGATTCCTCAAGAGTAGTGGGTCACCAACTACTGTGATTCTTCTGTGCATATTCTTCAGAGTACGTTTGCATCCCTTGTGCCATTCTGGGATCCATTACCCTTTCTATGGTACTTTTTTTCCTTTTCCTGAAGGCTCATAATCCCTTTCTTCTGCCATAACCTGAAGACTTTCTAAGTGTCAGTGGTACAGAATATTTCTATAGTTTTGGTTGTAATGGGTGTTGTAGTCTAACTTCTGGATTCCTGAATTCTGATTAGATGGAACAAGACACATAATTTGATTTGGAACTCATGCCTAAACGTATAGATAATTTTTTACTTCTTTTGGTAACAGCTCTGCCACTCTTTTGATTGCAGTCACAGACCATGAGTCCTAAAACAATATTCCCTGTAGTCTTATGCCTCTGACATCTGCCAGTGTTGAGAAAGTTATTGTATAGTGCTTTTTCCTTGAGGCTTCAGAGCCTTTAAGTGCCTGCTTTGTTTTAATATTTTCATAACAGGACATTGTCTGTAGCTATTTAGTCATGTTTACAATTCCCTTCAAAGCTTTTAAATAAGAATATTTAATAATTGTATTCCTAACTAAGGCTTTATTTTACTGGTCAGCTTCTCTGATCTTGGACTTTTTCCCTGTGTTTAACAACATAGTCAGTGAAGTTATGTTTTAGTCCCATGAAAGTATCAACCTTGAAATGAAAAACAAAAATTGTGAGAATATGGTCTTACTTGACCAAAAATGGTCAAGCTTGATAAAATATTTTTACAGTTTTTATTTTTCAATCTTCTCCAATTAGCCTATGTATAATTCCCTGTTCCCTTTTACATGTTTCAGGTGCCTAGTTTTCAAAGACTGAAGGAATAGTCAGTTTCTTATAAATGAACCTAGGTTTTGGTTGAGAGCTTGCCAGTACAGTTAGGTCTGTGTGTGGAGAGCTGGGGGGATACTAGGGGCAGAGTTTAATGAGGAAAATATTAAGAGTCATTGCTCCCCATGTTCTCTTGCATAAAATACTCCATTTGGGATGAAATAAGGGTAGCTCTCAAATGAATTGATAGTTTTTCATGTCCTGTCTTTCTGCTTGAAATGGAAAGGATGAAGTTTGGTTAAAGTGAAATGGATCATGCCAATGCTTCATAATAGGTTTTTACATAACAAAACGCAGAATTCTCTTTTATTTGAAGTTTTATTCTTGCATGTCTTACCCTTGGAAGAAGCTCTGCTGAACATAGTGGGACTTATTTCTATGCAAGCATGCATACATTTGTTTATTAAGTCCACAAGGTTCTTTTACTGCCATTATAGCAGTGAACAGCCAAAATGCATATACTATTTGCACTTAGCTATCTGTGTAAGAAACATTCTTGAACATTCTGAATAATGATTAATGTTGCATTTTGGATTAAATAAATGTATTACCTTATTGGCT